CAATTCCCAGTCTTTCAGTACCTTTCGTTGCCAATAGCCGACTTTTACGTGAGATGCTATGCATGTCCAAGTTGTTCTTTATCGATAGATTAATGATCTTCAACAATTTCGGAGAGCCCACTGCAACCATTCATCAGCTCTGGGCACCAGGAGAATATGGTAAATTAGTATTTTGGTCAAAGACCTGTTTAGTGAGCGTTTGAAGATATGTTTCTTTCGTCGTTTATTGTTCACGTCTCACTTCCCTACTCATCTCGTCTCTATAAGTCTGCTTCCATGGTGTTTTAGTTTTCACAATCTATAACACCCTTCTAGTTAATTGCGCTGCCCCAAAGTGGACCGTTGCCTGTGGCTAGGCCATGGGAGTACCAAACAGGCGCGAGACACGCGTTAGACTAAGATTATAACTCACGCCTACTGCTGTGCTCAACCTCGCTCCCCTGCCAGTAGGACTGGAACTTCACTCTGGCGTACAGTCGATTGCCTATCTCATGAAAACCAAGGATTTTCACATAAAATTCATGTTATGCACTAGCAGCTCAAGCTGCGTCTCCCCAAGTCTTACATCAGTAAAGTAATTATCGGACTTAAAAGTAATGTATTAGGCGGTTTGTCAAGTAGTACTAAATTGTTTGAAATAACCAGCTATTTTCGAAATTTCGAAAATCCCGAAACAGTGAAAAATGTCATTATTATGTAAACTTAAGTCCTAAACGTAGAGAAAGCCTGGTCATGCAAGTAAACGAGTAAATAGAGTTACACAAGTAGAATTACGTTTCAACGTAATCCTTTGTGAAAATTCCGTATAGACACGCTTCCAAAGGACGTGCAATGTAAAGTGCGACTGTTACCGAACAGCCCAAAGTCCGAGTATGTATTCCAACAGGGTTTCACGAGAATTGCCAGTTTTTTTCTTTCTTTTTACAGTGAGACACGTTGCACTAAGACAACCAGATGTTCATCTGATTCTGCTGGTTAGAACGTCACAGGATTATGGTAGTTCATAAGGTCACATGCAGACATGCCGGTCAGTGACTAATACATTTAAATAGAATTGTTAGCTGTAATCATGAGCGTACCATTTTTTGTGCATGTAGAGAAATTTATTTCTGTCACATTTCTTTGTAATTATATCTGATGTCCGATTAGGACGGGGTTCAGATCGTTCTTTACGATTTTCAGTTGAATGTCCATAAAAGTATTATTTTCTATGCGTTTACCAAAACCTTCAAAATAATATTGCTTTTAAAAGCATTCACCTTAATAATAACATTCCTTTCTATGCAGTTATCAGTTTGTGTCATGATTTTGGAATCACCCAAACATCCCGAATAATTGCCGAGGAAAATGGACGTCCAAAACCAAAGTCACAAACTGATGTGTGATATGTTCTATAATAAGCTACCCCTCGAAAAAGCGCTTTAGTTATATATTTCGATGGCGAATATAGGTATACTTTGCCTTTTTTGCAGGTTAAGCGAAGATGAAAATGGGAAGGTTTGCCCGGTTTTCCGACTTTACTGAAAATGAGGGATACACTTTCTGCTCAATATGAAAGAAATCAATTTACTGTATATACTGGAGTAATTTTCGGTTTACTTCTTCATTTTTAGGCCCTGTTTTTAGATCGCAGATGTGTATCAGTGAAGCAGAATATATACTAAGATTTTGCGCCACCTGATAATCTTCTGCCCTTTCCGTTTCAAGTTTTCGTATTTTTTCATAGTCAATTGTAGATAGAAATTGTTTGGATATCTTTCCTGTACGGCGTGACTGAGAAGCGGGACGACAGGTCGTGGGTGTTCATATATATGCTTGTTTACGGTCCTTATTTTCGGTTTAGTAAAACAAACTACAACCTCCCAAGTGTATTACCTATTTTATGGCACAAAACATAGCGGATTTGAAAAACAGAAATATTTAAACCGAATTCACTCTTCTTTTCCCAAAAACGATGCGATTTGTCATGCTTGCGTTAACCTGATTTTAATGAAGGCAGAACGTAATTTCTGATCTTTGAAAAGATCTAATTAACAGTTTTCTGGCTTATATTAATTTTCTTTGATATTATAACATGCGTATACAAAATGCTTTGATCCGCAGCGTCTAATAGCCCGTGCTATTTCTTGAATGTCAGGAAACGTTCGATTTGAGCCAAGGTGGCCCACTTTTTCCTTCAATACACAGATCCTAGCTGAATTATTTCCTACTAAACAGCACTTTGCGTCTCAAGCCAAGTCACCTCCTCAAATGTCGATCTTCATATTTCACAAGTTAGGCAATCTACCGCGAAGTAGGTCAATCCAGTTCGAAAATAAAAATTTCTCTACTAGAGCAAAACACATCAAAGTATCATGTCCCGTTATGTCGAGCCTTGTCACCCCCCCCTCCCCAAACCGAGGGTGAGACCGCACTGTACTTAATTACGGCTCCCTTTCAAAAGGCATGGGAAAGTATACTTTCGCATGCCTTATGAAAGGGAGCATCATAAAGTATGCTTTATGATGCGCAGCTGACACTTTTGGGGCCATCAACACATATCTAACATGATTAGACGTGTATTTTGACTACATGAGGGATCTCGCTCACAGTCATCAGCAATCGTATTCAGTTTGCCTTGCCATTAGAAGTTAGTGCGTGCGGGAATCGTAGTTCCACTCGATCTGAACCACATGTTGCCCACCTCGCTACTACGGCTTCGAGACAGTGACAGCTAACGCTGCCTGTAGCCAGCAAGCCAATAAGAAGAAAGTTCGCGCAATTGATAACCCGCATCAAATAGTAAAACACATGTTATATTTTGGCTTTGAGAGTCTTCTGCGATCTAAAATTCCCACAAACATTTTCGGCCTTCGAACTCCCGAATGAGGTCCATTTAGAAGAATGCGTAGAGGGTGGCATACAAGTCTGTGTATTTAACGAAATACTTCTGCTATAAAACTGTTTTGTAATTGAAAACCTTTGTGACTTTCTTATCGTTAATTTTTTCCCGTTCGGCAAAATAGCATCACCACCTTTACCAGAGCCATTTGATTGATGCACATTTCACCAGTTTAATTATTTTTGCTTCAGGTGGACGTGTCTGTATATTCTCCCCCTGCATTGAGCAAGTACAAAAGTCCTGCGATGCCCTTCGCGCTTCTAATTTTGCTGATATTGAAGTACTGGAGTGCGTACAGCGAACGTACGATTTTGTTCACACCGTTCTCAACGTCCCCAATCTC